TCATGTGCCACTTTTTTGTTCTTACCACATTTTGACATCATCTGTGATCTATTACTGAACAGACGCACGGCAACATGGAATCTATTTGTTAAATATATTGTGTCCACAACTTTGTTAACCTTGTTAATTGCAGTGGTACATGAAAGCGTAAGCCTTGTTGTGTCAAGACAGATATTAACTGAGCTTTGCAATCATATTCCAAACATGGAGTCCTCCACTGCCAAAGAAGTATCACATTTTGTTCTGGACAAATTGCAACCTAGAGCTATCTCCTTTGAGGAGCAGGTAAGTGCAGATGGTATGTACAAAGTTCATTTCTGTGCATTTCTGTTGTGGGGAGTAGTTGTGTAGTGGTGAGAGCACTCACCTCCCACCAATATGGTCCAGGTTCCATTCTGGCCCAGTGCCACATGTGGATTGAGTTTGTTGTTAGTTCTCACCTTGCTCCGAGGGTTTTTCACCAGGTTCTCAAGTTTTCCTCTCTCCACAAAAAGTTTTACAACAACTCCAAATTCCACTTTGACCAGGATAGAGTACTCACATGAAATGAAGATATTAAATATAATAAAGGCTGATGTGGCTTCCTCTCTATGAATATTGTAATTTATTATTATAATTATTTTTGCAATGCAAAGTTGATTACATTTTAGATTAAAGTTATTCAAATTGATGAAAAATCTTCCAAATGTCCTGCTACCATGACACAACAAATGTGTGACCCTTACAAGTTATGATTTGAATTGCCTTTAAAGGCCACAGTTGTTTAATTTATTCTTTACCTGTTATCCAAAACAGATAGCATTTTATTCTGTGTGTACCAAAGGAGCACCCATGAATAAGAGCAGTGTAATGGAATATGTTCTGGACAACTCTTCCTACTGGTGATAATTTGATATTCTGTAGGTTGCATCAATCCGGAAGCACCTGGCCAAAATCTATGAAGAGTGTCAACAATGGCGAGATGCTGCAAGAGTGCTTACTGGGATTCCTTTGGAAACAGGACAAAGGTAGTGTGAATTTGAGATCTGTTGTTCTGGGCACGACTTTGCTTTGTGTTATGGTTGTTCAAAACCTATGGTATGTAGCTCATTTCTTCATCCCCATTTGTTAGTCTGTTTGAAATTAAGGAACTATTAAAATCTTTACAAAGATGTAGAACAGGACTTTGATTTCTTACAAATCAAATTCTTATTGCTAGCTTCCTGACTGTCAGACCATTTTGTTATCACTCTTAAAAATTTCTATTTCCCTCACATTTTGCCCAAATTTTGAACACTCTTTAGTCTTGCATGTTGTAGCTGTTCAGAAAGTGATAATTATGTGTCACGTGTATATCATAATTTAGACAATATTCAGTCGACTACAAACTGGAGACATACCTGAAGATTGCACAATTGTACCTGGAAGATGAAGACCCTATACAAGCTGAGGCTTACATTAACAGGGCATCACTTCTTCAGACAGATACTAAGACAGAGAAACTGCAGATACTATATAAGGTACTTTCAAACAAGATTTAGTCAACTTGAAAAGCATATATTAAAATGATGTGCTGGGCAACAGTCAGCTCCTTGTAGTCTGTGAGCAACACAATTCTTGTTGTCATCTTTGTATGACCTGAATGAAAAGAAATTAATCTTGAATGGTATTTTATTGTCGCGTAAGGTTATTGGTATAAAATGATAAATCCAGTGTTACTTGTTATTCCACAGGTGTGCTATGCTCGTGTCCTGGATTACAGACGCAAATTCATTGAAGCTGCACAGCGTTACCTAGATCTGTCCTACAAAGCTGCAATACATGATGAAGAGAGAATGACAGCACTAAAACATGCTTTGATCTGTACAATGCTTGCTTCAGCTGGTTTGTAGTGTTGACAACATTGTCTTTTATGCCACATCTTGTGATCTTTCAGTACCGTATTTATTTGATTAAGCGCCCAGGGTGCTTATTTAATTTTTGGACTTTCGGGGTGGGCACTTATTCGAGGCTGGGCGCTTATTAAATTTTCATCATTTTCAGTAAGTAAAAAGTTTATTTTGTAATTAAACAATAAATAAGAACAAAACATGACAAAATATTAAAGCATATGAATTGTAACTGTTCATTGTTCGGTTTATGCCCAAGATTAACAACTCATTGTTCAGTCTTTGCAGAAATCTCTTTAGCTATCATAATTCTCAATCAACATCATAAAATTTTCAGACAATGAAACTAGAGATTGTAAGCCATTAAAGAAATACCGTAATAATCAATACCTGTATTCCTCTTGTGCACTTTATTTATTTATTTTTTTTGGAGGAGCGGGGGGTGGGCACTTATTCGAGGTCGGGTGCTTAAAAAGTACTTTTTGGGGATGGGGTGGTGGGGGTTGGGCGGCACTTATTTGAGGCTGGGTGCTTATTAACTTTTTCTAACTTCAGCGTGGGTGCTTATTTGAGGTTGGGCGCTTAATCGAATAAATACAGTATTTGTATTGTAATATGGACACCAATGGGACAGGCACAAGACAGTGTCTTTGCTACAGAGGAAGAGTGTAACATTTGAATTCAAGTTTCACTGGGACTAAGTGAACTAATAGAGGGGCCCACATTTTAGAGGTGTCATTAAGGAGAGGTTTGACTGTATTATTGTTTGATTGTTGGTTAATTGGTTGATTGGTTGGCTTATGACAAAAGTCTATTATCACTTTCAGAATGTAAACATGTATTAGTAGTGGACAGGTGTATTTTTCAAAACTAAACTTAGCACTGAGGGAGGGCTCGGCTTGAAATGTCTGCTATAAACATCATTTTAAATTTGGCACTGAGTTATTGCTATTTACAACTTTTGAGGTGTATTTTTCAGGCCAGCAAAGATCAAGAATACTCGCAAACCTGTTCAAAGATGAGCGCTGTCAACAGTTGCCAGCCTATGGGATTTTAGAGAAAATGTAAGCATAGCTTATTGCAGCTAAGTTGAATATCATCCTGCACTGACACAACTTATGAATGTAAAATATGACATATTCTTATGTGATCAATGTGCCCTTTTGTTTCTTCAAGGTATTTGGACAGGATAATTCGTGGCCCAGAGCTTCATGAATTTGCCGCTATGTTGATGCCACATCAAAAGGCAACTACTGCAGATGGTTAGCCATACTCTTCTTTGATAGAGCTCCACTAGTAGCTCATTGAATTTCAGCATGCTAAATGTTAATTTGTTCTCTCTGTTTAAGGTTCCAGTATCCTTGACAGGGCAGTGATTGAGCATAATTTACTCTCTGCCAGTAAGCTCTACAACAACATCACCTTTGAAGAGCTTGGAGCTTTGTTAGAGATACCACCTCCCAAGGTAGGCATTTTTT